ACAGTTTACTCCCATAACATGACGCGTCCGGGGCTGGTAAATTTTATGTCGGGGCCAGTAAATACTCGAAATAGTTGCTATGAATAGAAAGGTGGCGGTAGGATTTTGTACATGCGTGAAAACTTAATTATTTGTATATTTATATAACATGTAAAGAATCAGATTCAGAAACAACTTTTTGAAACTTAGTCTTTGTATCTAAATATAGAAACTGATATGCGGCAAAAACAATCCTACTAAACATTTAGATTTTATTTCTAGAAAAAAACATCTATAAATAGATTCAAATTGTTTATATTTCAAATCGAATAAGCCCGACTTTGATGGCGCCTATCTATCAATTTGTTGTGCGTTGTTTACACAATTTCCATCACTGTTAACACTCTAAACGTTCTTATGGAGTTTTAAGATCAGCCATTACCTGATATGCACAAATCAGTATTATTCAATTAAGCCTTCACATATCACAAAATCAAACAAGACTCAACACTGTACTGCATTTCAAATGAATTTGTATTTTGATTTTAATTGAGTTCTTTTTCCGGTTTTCTGAACAGCCCAAGTATATGCATTCCCTGTCCGAAAACAGAACATTGACAAAGAATATATTTAATAGATTGCTTACGTGATTAAAAAAAATTCGAAATCGTTGACAAAAATCGAGTTCAGCTCCACCATTATAACCTCGCAATTGACTCTGAACTGTATCACTACCAATTCTATTTCTTCTTGTTTGAAAGCTTATTGTTAAATTTCGGTTTTCCTTTTGCTAATTTTGTTTTTGCATGTAGCCCAACTTTGAGAGACACTTTCTGTTTTTTCGTTGGCTTACTCTTCATAGAATTTAGCATTTCCACTTCAGCAGTCACGTTTTTAACTAGTTTAGCATTGCTTATTTCCGAATCAGAATGTTTCTCGTTTCCTGTTCGTATTTGGGGATTTTCCAAAGCGTCATTGTCACCTTCGTTGTCGTTTGTCAGAGTGACGTCTATAGACCGTGGGGTTACGAACTCACCACGGGAACCCCCTTCATCACGAGCTTCATCACATGGGTTTTCGTCCAACAAAGTGCCATCTGCACCCAACCTTCCTAGTCGAGACGTATCCAGAAAAGACATCTTTGTTTTCAGCCGTTGTAACCGTTCTACAAAAACACGTGCGCGTTTCTGTCTATTTTCCTTTTGTTGGGCCACTAACGCACAAACAGCTTCAACCCCGGGGGCCGGGACGTCCTCTCCAAGCTTCTCGGTCAGTAAGACAGACTCATGTGATGTTATTGCACTGATCATGACCGATTGGTCATCTTTTTGCTCTGTTGGATTTTCCAAACTCGCATCGACTCTGTCCTCCTCCATTATGGCACTTAGGCCCTCCTCTCCCTCTTTAACTGGTTGTACAGAAGGCATCACCTCATCATTCTGTTTCTCTAATGGCATATTGGTAATAAGAGCCTCTCCTACATCACCGAGGTCTAGATTGTAATTTGTCGACCCAGACTAAGAACATGTAACTCACTTTCTTTCTTTTAAAAATAGAGGAAACACGTCTTTTTCACTTTTCAATGACATTTCCTCGTCATTGTTTTGTTGATTTTAAGTTCGTTCGTTTCAGTGATGATGATCATGAAGCAGTTCTTAAATGCTTTTGTTCATTCGTATCGAAAACAAGTTCTTGGTCGTGCAGTATTCAAATCCTTGTCATTTTATACACAGCTGGTTCAGAAATATCTCGCATGTTTGGTATCTGGTCAAATCGCGGTAACATGTTGATCATTGTTGGAGGTTCACACATGCTATGCACCGATTCACTGTGTCTATATTTCGCTGGCCACTGTATTTTAATACCTGTACTTAATGATCCAATTGTAGTTTAAACTTTCTCAACCTTAACGGAGGGCGTTTATCAGTGACGCTAATCTTGGATTACCGTATAGTACAATGTTGGGGCTATTTATTTGTTTGTAAAAATAATCGGATCAAGATTATGAATTTTTAAAGAATGAATCAATACCAGTTAATAAATTGGATATACATACGAAAACCGGTTTCCTAAAAGGAAACTTAAAGTTCAGTTAATAAAGATGATTAAAAATCTGCATTTTCAATATTACAATAGAAATGCACAAAATATTATTACTTACTTTAACAACAGATTGAGCACCTCTTCATGGAAGCAAAAATATTTGTAACCTATCATGACGTCGAAAAAGGCTCGGTCCCCAAATTGTATCAATTGAAAGTGTTAAATAGGTTTCTTCACACTGTATTCTGAACCTGTCGTATCATCTAAAACATTATTAATATTACATCAATAGTAGGTATTTGAGGATTTGGGGGAATCCCCAGCTATATCTAGAACGTTGTGTAACATATAAGTCATCGTGTTATATTTTCTTTAACATGTCCATCGAAAGGACACTCACTGATCGGCCTGTGACCAAACTTCTTTATTATGTGCACATCCATCGGAAATAAAGGACTTATACATGTCCGATATAGCTTTTACTTTATATTCCCTTTAAAAAGTACAATTATTTCATTTTATTTGGATAGGTGGTGATTGCTCTTTTTTATTTTATTTCTAGTACAATTTATGTAATGGAAATGTTACATTGAAAATAATCTTCACCTCACCGATTTGTAGATAAATATCAGACAGTATGATTGCATCTGATACTACATTATGATACTGTATTTTTTCAGTAGATATACTCGCACATTTTGCTGTCATTCCCCATCCTCGAAACTCCAGGGGATATGCTGACTTACGCTCTCTGCACCCCTTGAATATGTCGTGTCAAAATTGAAGGCAAAAAGATAGCACATAAAAGTATTTGTCACATTTTAGCATTCATCTCCCTTTACGGATTGTAATATTACTTCAACATAATATTCAACAGAAAGTGAATAGCCAGTATATTCAAAAGTTTGTTGATTTCCATTTCCCATCATTTTAGAATATTGTCTTCCTACAAGGAAACAAGATTTACCCCTGTGATTATTGGGTCCATAGTAAGTTGAAATTGATGAGAGGATCCCAGAGTAAATTGATCTCTGTATCGGGTTCCACAACTATAATTCCATGTCTGTCTGCTTATTTGATTTCAAATTATTCATATGAAATCTCCTTGCTGATGCTGCCATCGGCAACTAAGAGCGTAATATGTACTAATTTGGATTTAACACCATGATTTCTGTTTGCTTTATTGTCACCAATACCTCAGACAAAACACGATTTGGTTTGTTTGTGTTTTACGTCCTATTAACAGATATGGTCATTTAATGACGTACCAGGTGGTGGTGGTGATGGTGGTGGTGGTGGAGGAAAGCCGGAGTCCCCGGAGAAAAACCGCCGACAGACGGCCAGTACCTGGCGACTTCCCCACGTAGGCCTCGGTGGTGGAGACTTTGTGGTAGCAGAATGTCAGACGCCTTAACCTAACCCCGAACACAATATACAGGCTTCATCACAGTTTCTGGAAATGTCCTCGACAGATAGGATAAAGCTGACAGACAAGACAGCTATACAACACATACATATACGTGCATTATGTACAACCCTCGTGTGAGGAAAATATACGCGCATTCATCTTATAATTGTGCAAAAATTATATAAATTATATAATTATATAAATAATCTCCCTCTCTCTCTCTCTCTCTCTCTCTCTCTCCTTCTTGCACTTCTTTGATAACTCCTTTTATACGCATGGAATTTTTTAATTCACTATCCCATTGCACGATTATAAGGGACTAATTTGGGACCAACACAAGCCGAATTTTTCGTTGCCTACTGTGTACACCACCTTTTTTATGACCTTATAGTTGTTGCTCACTCAAACCAATCGGTCGATGGCGCAGATATTAGCTAAGTGCTACTGACGTATCATGCGCTAAATCTGTGTGCAAATAAGTGTTGTGATATCAAACGTTTAAGAATGGTTTCCGGTATTTTTAAGTGTCTTTACATGCACTACTTATTGACAAGTATTAACAAGAGGGCAAATGGGCCTGCATCACTCACCTGGTATTAATCTCACACTCACTCCTGTGACTTTGAAAGTCGAACAAGGTCATTACGTTGAACAAACTGTATAGCCCTTCAGCATACAACTTGAAAATTATCACCATCCTGGAACATTTGTTTATTGAGATTAGGTCATTTAAATATTTATACACATTTGACCAAATGTAACCCTTCATCCATGCATGCTACATATGTACTGGCCAAATATCAATATTTTTGGTCTGATGGTTATTCAGAAGAAGTTGTTTTAAAGTTTTAAACATTTTTGACCCCTGTGACCTTGAATATATATCAGGGTCATTGATTTGAACAAACTTGCTAGCCCTTCATGCCTGCATGTTATCATGTTATAGGCCAGGTGAGCTAAACATGAATATATAGCCTACAAAACTATATATGACCTAGTAATCTCATTAAAAAAACAGCCGCATATAGTTTATTTGTGTGATGCGAGACTGATATGATTATAAATCAAGGGTCCTAGGTTTACCTTGCCTCGAAATGACAAATGACCCTCAGAAATAGTATGAAAAGGGGTAGGTGTTCAAACTACAATATCTTTTCTTTAGTCTTACACATATTTTCATCATTTTCGTTCAATGGTGGTATTGATAGGAAATAATGTATTTCTTTGATACTTAAACATAATCATAACGCTGTGAATGTGTCCTTTGACTTGGACCTTGACCCTGAAAGGCCTATTAATGTCATAGGCTGAGTATCCATATGGAAACCAGAATCACAAACTCCAATAACGATGATGGTCCTATGTTGGAGAAGCAAAAACTAAAGATGGTGCTGTCTTGGTGATCATGAATCAGAGATGGTGCTGTGGTGGTAGAGAAATACAAATATAGTGTTGAGTTAGCACTGCAGAAGGTGCAGAGTGAATTTTCCTTATCAGCTTTTCATGTTTAAGTCTGTTATATTGAAAAAGAACACTGGTAACGAGAATTTACTTTTAAATACATGTATTTTCCTTTCATACACAATTTTAATAATCAACGACATAAAAATTTGAAAAAATGATATTTACATAAAAAGTAAACAAATAAATGACAACAGCACAGATTCGGTAAAATCCTACCTTCAACAAGAATAGGTGTTTGACATACCAGTATGCAAGGGCCACAGGGTACCGAGTATTTGTTGGCTGAATTTTCCAATATAGTAAACCTATAATAATCCCCAGATAGGAACCTATGAAATAAGTTACTGACGGATACATAATGAGAAATTGCACTGATTTGTCAATGCATGATTAAGACAAAAAGAAGACAATTGATGGTGGAATGGTCCCATCGAGTAAGGGATGGTTGGCTTCTTTTAAAAGAAAACGATGACATAAAATGACATCATGTGTGTGGTAAACAAAGTGGCAAAGTTTCAGAAGATTCGTCAAAAGTAGACATAGACTAATGGTATGACGTCGACAACGGTGAGTTAAGTGAGACACAGGGCATTATATTGAGGGTTAAGTGTACCTTAATTCTGTACAGATGCCATCAAGTTTTTGAAAAAAGGATCAGTTACCATAAGGCTATTTTTTTATCCATCAATTCTTTTATTTTTTGAAGGGTGGGGGCCCAGTGCCCTGACTATTTTTTTTTTTAAATTTCTGAAAATGTTATAACAATACTGAAATGTAAATACAGTTATTTAAAACACATATTTACATAAAATATTTAATTCATATACATCTCTATCTTCGTATTTTGTCATGCCGTTGGACACCTCTCCACCAATCAAAATCCAATCTTAGCTGACAAAAATCCTTTCATATGACATTTCGACCTATTACTACAGTGTGGTATAAAACACCTGATTGTGATATAAACAGAGGATGATTGTGAAATCCAGAATGAGGCTATGATGTGTATTGCACAAATTTTGACATAAGATTCTTTACAATAATATTGAAAAAGAAATAGTTTTATATGAGATATATTGCATAATGTTTATTTTTACTAAACATAAACATGGATAGGTTCCCAAATCGGCATGCACACAAATTCTTAAAGGATTTACAGTAGAGTCTTGAAAATCCAGCCACCTCTCTTTTTTAAGCAGAAGTGGTGTTTTGTGAAACAACTTGATTAATGTGGACAATTATTCATTAAAAAATAGTCGAAACTGTCCACTAAATCAGTGGCTTGATAAAGAGACAACAGATTTGTGGTGATTGCTGTTGCACAGGGCTGACCACCATCTGTACAGAAATAACAACATATGCACACAGTACATTATATATGTATATGTCACAGAACTCCGGATCCTCACCTTAAAATTTCAAATTTTCTGTCAAATAGTAGCATTTGAAGCCTGTCTTTGTTAGAGGTAAAAAACCTTTGTATAATCCCTGAATATTCCTGACAATTGATTGGAAAGAATAAATTATGTCATCATTATGCATTGAAAATCATAAAGCAGACTGTGGCAAGAATCGCTGTTATTTATCAATGTAAACAGGTCTTGCTTTGTAGAGAAAAAAATCAAATTCATGTAATGCTGAACTTCGAGCTGTGATGTTACTTAATGAATATTTGTACCCATACTGAATGCACAGATCCACCTGATTGCAAAAACGAACATGTCACCAAATAATTCTGAAATCCATCCTGTGTTCAGTAACCAGCACACTACTCTGTCACACTCTCTGTGATGTTTGTAGCTGCCTCAGATGTTATAATCATTTGTTCGGTGACGATACCTGAAATTGTACCATCCACAATACTCTGTATTGGAGATTCCGTGGTTTCAACCTGCTCCTCAACATTTGCTACCATCATGGCCTGTTCCACTATAGAATCAGACAAGTCTAATGTTGAACCAGGGGCCATAGCAACAGCCTCAATTTCATTTTCAGCTGTCATAGTAATGAGCTGATTGTCCCCGTCAGCAAGTGATGACAGTGGCATCATAGCAATTGTCTCCCCTGTTTTGGAGTCGAGTATTTTCATGCCCTGGTCGCTATCGGTGACGACGATGTAGTCGTCAGTTACCTGCATACCCTCCAGCATGGTAGTGTCCACTTCACCTTCTGTGATTATTTCCACATTGTGCAGGTTTTCATCCCTCAAATCTGTCTGTAGTACAACATATTCTGTCTGACTCTCCACCTGCTAATAAACAATTTGTACATGTATTAGGTATATTGCAGTATTTTATTTGATCATATAAGTTGACAAATGTGGAATTCAAACTAAATCAAGAGTTGCTTTTTATGTATTTAGCAAAGATAAGTTTCAGAGACAAAAATGGATAGGCTGTAACCATGATACACTTTACACAAAGACATTTTAAGAAATCTGTTTTTAGGTGAGGCTAGGTTATACTTTTCGAAATATTGACGAGCCCCAGGATAATATGGAGTCCAAAACCCAAGTAACTGTATCCCAAATATCGCTTTAATATAAGAGTAATTGTTTGCATGATACTTGAATTTGTGCTTGATATAAATCAAGTGAAAAGAAATCTATAATGTGTCCTTTGAAAATTACAGCCCTCCCAGGGGAAATCCTAGAATATGAGAGCAGTGGGCCATTTTCAGCAATGTTTAGTCAATATCAAAATTAAGAAGGGCCACTCTATGTAAAATTAAAAGAATATTGGAACATGGAGTGGTCAATTTCGGTTTTGATGGGTCACTAGCCCCATGGCCCCCTCCAGGATTATCCCTGCCCTCCTTTTCCTGTGTGTGTAAATGCATGATATGGATATTGACTTGAGTACAATATACCTAATACAAAACAAAAAACATCATGATACATTTTTTGTAGTGTGGCTGCTTTGTTGGGATATAAATTGTACTGTGTTACATGTAAAACAACACACCGCCTCACTAATCACCTGCTGTTGCTCGTTGTCTCCCTCGTCCTGTGTGGTGATGTACTGCTGTGTGTCTGCCACAGAGGAGAACTCTGCCAGCACGGTGGGGTAGGGCCCCTTAGGCCCCTCCGTGTCATCAAGGTTTATCTGGTGTGAACATGGCACTGAAACAGATATACAAAATGTAGGAGGAATTCACATAGACCATCAGATAGAGACACATATCATGTTTACCAGTGAAATTTCAGTGTTACTGAAGTAAAAATATTTGTTCATTTTGATATTTTTTAGAGTGAACTGAGCAATCAGAGAGCAGCACTTAATGAGCAAATACTGCATACAGGGTTATTTAAGAGACACTGTTATTTTCATGGAAAGGTTATTTCCCAAATTTGAAAAACCACAATAAAGAACCTTTGTCATGAAGTAATACTAAAATGTTAACTAACAATCTTGAAATTGTGAAGTCAGCACCGTGAGAATGGGTACATTGTATTTTCCTATGTACACGCAAAAACAAAACTGTAATTAATGATAACTGAATATTTTGTTAATACTTTCATATATTTTAAATTTATAATATAGAAAACGTTTTGTTTGTTTTCTCAGTCCACACTGCTAAACTTGTATAGTCGTACTGAATGCTATTGCTATACCCCATTTCTGTGATGAATATCAATAATATTTCAAGTTCTGAAAAAATACTCAACTTCTTCACATGTTTTCGATCTTCACTTATGAAAAAAATACTGAAGTATCCCTTGATGGAATGTAACTGAAATTCATCAAGTACACACACTCACTTTACCACAAAACAAGTTTACAATTGATTTCCAAGGAAGCTCAACTTATTCCGCAAGATCATCAAATACCTTATTGCTGTACTTGTTCATTAAGACATGTTATTCAAAGGAAAAGAGTCTGGACAAACATATTTACTTTGATCTTTTAAATAGTTACCTTTAGCCCTGAGATGTCTGTTGAGTGTGCCGTGCTCTGAGAATGACTTTCCACAGTGTTTACATACATATGGTTTTTCTCCGGTGTGCATACGAACATGACGGTTTAGAGAGCCCTTCTCTCTGAAGTGTCTGTGACAATATGGACACACATATGGCATGACATCTGTATGTGTCCTCATGTGTACTTTCATGGCATTCTGTTCAAACGAAAAATATTCTGAATATCATACAAACAGTCTCTATCATTTGTTTGACAATATTTAAGCCACTGTGATACTTAAAATTAGCATGTAGAACTAAAGGTAATTTTTACAACAATTTTGCAACTACATGAATGGTTACATTTTTCTTGATTTCTTTCGTAAAAGTACTCTAAAATGGCTAGAACATTTTATGAAGTTTGTTCATTAGGAACTGTGATTTTGCTAAAACTTGCAGAGTAAGTTAATAGTGATGGCAGAGTTATTAATAGAATACATTTTATACTGTTTGGATGGGTTTTTTTCAGTGAGCATGTAATAAGTTCAGATGTGTGATATTAATTATCCTGACGGTCATGGTTGGAGAGAAATTGATACCAATATCGTTATATAAATACTTACTCCTGTCTTAAAGGACTTTTCACACATAGCACAAGGGAAGGGTCGGTCTGAGCTGTGGATTTTAAGGTGCTCTCGTACATGGGAGATGCGTTTGAAGAGCTTGCCACATTCTCCACACTTGTATTGCCTCTCCTCACTGTGCACACTCAGATGTTTACACAGTGTGTCCTTGGTCACAAAACACTTGTCACAGTGCGAACACTTGTGGGGGCGGTCACCTAAAACCCACACATAAATTGGAATAGAATCATGTGACCATAATAATGACCATGATTTGAAACATTTCATGATATACACTCTGAACACTTAATTTTTTTACCATTTGTAAAATCAAATTCTTGCAAAACTTCAAACTTTAAAAGCTGAGTGTGTTGACTCGGAAAACATGGTTTTATTATATTATTACTCGTCTGTCAAATGGGATATCAACCGGAACATGACATAAACAGAAAAAAACAATTTCAGCAGACAGACTTTGGAAGTGACCATATCTAAATGTTACAGTGATATGGTTCTACAAATACCAATTTATTTAATAGAGACATTTGTAATTGACAAAGTACTTATTTTGTGACCCTCTTCAATTGAATTATGCTTTAAACAAATTCTCGATCACCTCATTGACTACTGCAGTTGATAAAGGCAACATCATTAATAAAGACAAACCTGTGTGAGACTTCATGTGGAGTCTGAGGTTGCTGTTGGCTCTGAATGTTTTGTTACAGACTGGGCACCTGTACACAGTCCTGACAATGTCAGGGGTCGCATCACCAGCACCAAACAAGCTGTTATCTGTCGGCAGTTGTAACATCTGCTGGATAGCTGCCTTTGCATTTCTACATATAAATAGAAAATAAGCTTGTGTATATGGTTTCCTTTTAGTGTCAAAATCATGAATATTTTCAAATTGTGATCAATATAATTTATGCCATAAATGTCACTTACTTGAAAATGAAATATTTATTTAAAGAAGAAAATAATAAGTTGTCGCAGGACAGATGCCACGCCACAGCATAAGTTCACTGGGCCTTTCGGGCCAGGTGAGGTAAAAACACAGAAGATTCAATGAGATGAAATCCGATTCACAAATGATACCAAATACCTAAACCTGTCAAAAAAGACAATTTTCTCAGGATGATAGTGCTATTATTTCCTGCTTCAATCCAATAAGGAATCAACAAATTAATGCATATTCTACACATTTTCATTACACATGTATAAATCTTGATTTTCCTTGCCAAACATGTGATTCTTACAGTGACTGTTTCTCTTTGTCCAGACTGTCTTCTGTCCAACTGGTGATGGGAATCACAGCGTCCGCTTGTTCTGTGCCCTGGCAACAATCAAAGGCAAGAGTTTTTGAAACCTACTGTAAATCATAGGCAATTACAATATTCATCAAAATAGTGGGTAGGTTCCTATTCAACAATACTTAATAGCTTCTCCCTAAGTATTTGGATAAAGTATAAATGTTAACAATGTAAATCTTGGTCTTTCTGGATCTTTATTATAGGTATAATAAATCAGATGCTGATCATCTGTCTACCAGGCTAAGTAATCCATGTTTTATTACAATTGGTATTAACGTCTTTACAGAGTCAAATCTTGTTCATTTTTAAGAACACAATTACAAGATAGTTTGGCTAATACATGTAGTGACATTTTTTATGCAATACTTGATTCTTGTATAATTTTTCAGAAAAATGAATTTGAAAAACATGCAAAAGAAGACCTATCCAATCAACACTGTATATAGACACTTGAAATCCACTTCAGACAGTAATATTCCCTTTGATGTATTAAAATGAGGAATAACGATAATGATTTTAACAATAAATGGAGCATTCAATGTTTAGCTGATTCAGCAGTTTTAGTGTACAAACCAAACAAATTCTACTTAACATTGGTGATCAGGACATCCCTTCTTACCTGTTTTAAAACTTAGTGAGAACATTGTAGCAACAGTGACCTACCTTGACCTGGCTTTGGTGCATAGACAACATGTGACTGGCCAGCTGTTCACGTTTCTCTGCTACGTAGTGACACATACCACAGCGGAAAGACATGTCTGCCAAATGTGTCCTCAGGTGTATTCGTAGGGCACTCACACTTGAGAAGTCCACCTTACAAACCTGCATGTTAAATATAGGGTAAGAACAGTTATTAATTTTTCTTTGACCACATCTATGTACCTGAATCCTAACCTTCTTGCAAAATGGAAATAAAAGTATTTTGATTATCATTTGTTAGAACAATATTAGGATCAGAGTTACTTACATTCAAATACAATTCTTTGTCCGCATTTGTCAAATTTTCTTTTCAAGTGCATGCTTATTTATGTCAGATTTGAGTCCAAACAAAAAATATTTACTGTTTTCAGTAAACCTACCTACCCTAGTTTTTTGTGCCTACCCTAAACTTTTTTAGGCAATTTTCAATGAAGGCTTGTTAAAGCCAAGATCACTCTCCTATATAAACCATATAAAATTATTCGTTAAAAGGGAACCTTCCTACCAACCCTGATTTCTTCCAACACATTGCAGGAAACACATTTTTTTTTAGTCTGGTCCATTTAAATTGAAAAATTTTGTAAACCTATATTGAAAGAAAATTTATTAAAGTGACTTTTTCTCACTCATGCTTATTTGTCATCCTTTTCATGACAGTAAGTAAGGACTTAAGATTATTAACGTTATTTATGAAAATTTGTTTCAGAAACTGACGACAAAATTAGTGGGCTATTCCTTATAATTATGCAAGGTAATATAAAAACTATTGCATTTGTGCATTCACTGCATATCATCGTAGCCATGTAATAACACTTATTATTCCAATACCATCTTACCTTACATTGAGTTGATGTGACATTTTCCTGTGTCTCTAAAACGGACATATCCTTGTCAGCAAGGTGAATCACTTCAAAACAAGATGCGTCCTGTTCATGTACCATTATTTCGCTTGTTCCCACATCCATATCAACAACCTCTGTCGGCAGTATCTCGCCCTCCTCCAGCTCACATGCTTCCCTCCCGTCCACTGTGGTGATAACCTCCTCTGATGATGTCTGCGAGGACACAAACGACCACCGCTTCCCATACCGGGGCAGATCTTGATCACTCTTACTGGTACAAGGGATCCTGGGAAAGTAAAAATAAAACATTTAATTTGTTTTCTTCAAACTTGAAATGTACTTCTCTTGTGCGTGATGTTCATGATTTCAATAACAAATACCAGGGTATATAAATGTAATTTAACTTCATTGGTCATTTTCAAAATCAATATATTGAAGGAATAGTTTTCCTGACAATTCAAGCAAAAAATTCCAGTTTTTCAGAAATAGCAAAGCATCAAGAAATTGTTTGATCTAAACCATCTGTGCCCTCTATAATGAAAATCGTGATGTTAACACTGGTATGCAGCTTACATTTATATATACCTGGTAATATTTCTACTGAGAAAGTCAAAGTTACAACTTGGCTATAATTGATTTTAGTGGTGAAGTACAAACATTTCACTTGGCAAACTTTTCCCAGAGTACAGTGTGCTCCTGGACTACATTTACAATAATCATACAATTAACAGTTACCGGTACCTTTAAGTGTGTTTTGTCATACATTTCATTTGTTTTAATTGTCAGTTGATTGAGAAAAGGAGGCCCTTAAGCATGTATGTATTAGCAGACTGCAATCTATATGCTTTCCAAATTTGTGACACAGAAAAAAATACATTTAAAAGCCAACCTTGATTTCATATGTCGTGTTAAAGCACCTGATTCTGTGAAAGATCTTTCACAAGCTGAACAAGAAAATGGTCGTTCTCCTGTGGAAAAAAAGAAAATGGTTCAATGTCAAATCAAAAAGATAAAATACAGTCAAATACTTCTGTACATTTGACCCTTGTCTGCAAAATATGCTGAAAATACTGAATAGAGATTAAATTGTTTTGCTAAAATATTTCTTATCTTTAGCACTTTTCATCAACCATTCAATGAGAAACTCCTTTCCCCACTATTTTATTGCATGATGGCTGATGTGTTCATCAGTTCCAGGCAATACAGCAAGAGGCCCTTGTAACCAAGAAAGCAGGTAAAAGTGATTCATGTGAACAAACTTAAAAGCCCTTCATTCAAGCATGCTAACCAAATACCATCACTATAATCTATGTCTCTTTGTTATTCAGAAGACGTAGCTTAAAGTCCTTCTCAATAAGTGAGCTAAAAATACTGAGGTTAGACCATGAAAAAAGATACAAATATGGGTAAAATTTACATTTTCAGTAATCAAAGATTAAGGTACTGAAATGATTTTTGTAAGACTTTTTCAGATGAGTCCTGAATATCATTTACAAAATGTTAATGGGTCCCATTACTACTAATATACAGTGGGATCTCAAAGTGTTGCTGAGTCCCATAGGAAAAGCACAAGACCATGACTCAAACATCTGAGTTCCAAAAATCACTTTATAACTAATTATGCATATCTGAATGTGTCCTTTCTTAAAGAAGCTTTCACACAGAATCTTTTGGGGTGATATTACCATAGGCCTTTGATCATTGGAAACTAAAGTTTTACTTACAGTGGTATACCATTGTATTTGGTGTGATAATTGGTACACTTAAGCACTGATTATTTATAGCATTTCTTCCTACATACCCCATTTCCAGCTGACCTTTCCAACATTTTTAGCCATTGCCAAGGCAATGACCAAACTAGTACCCATGTAACAAACCATCAGTAAAGGTGATTTACTAGACTAACGTATATATGGTGTTTTCCCTTGTTCCCTAATGGGACCCACTCCTTTGCCCCCCATGGTACACATCCTTCAATTATGTAAAGTTGAAATCAATTGGCCTAAGGATCCTTTAACCAAATTTTGTAAAAAAAACACACAAAAAACCCACAACCTTTCTGAAGTTTGTGCAAGGTGAGCTAGATTTGTCCAAAAACAATACCTGTATGCCTCCTCATATGGCGTTTCAGGGAGCCTTTTGTTTTAAAGGCAAAAACACAGCCCTCTATACCACAGGGAAAATCCCTCTTGTTGCTGTGAGTCAGAAGATGGCTTTTCAAAATATTTATCTGAAATATTGGGAAAAGAATAAACATGTTATGGATCTTTTTTCATTCAAACAATCTGGTATATATGATATTCAACAGGAAACAATTAAATATTCATTATATATCAGCATCAACATCCAGCCCTTTAATTACAAACAAAATGTGCAAGGGAGATAATGATAATATCATGGCAAAATCCATGTACAATATTTTGTATAAACTGATATGTCAAACCCCTATTCAGCTCAAAGACTGGATTGACTAGGATTAAACATCGCACAATTCCTTTAGTTATTGGTATGTACCTCTTTGAATCTATTCTGACAGATGTGACATTCAAATCGCCGTTCAACATCTGTTGCTATTGTGCTGGATTTCACTTGTTTGTAGTCTGGATCCTCACAGTTATCCTCCCCTGGTTCGTCCCGTTTGACCACACGTCCTATATTAGCTTCAACTTCTTCCCCCTCCCCTTCTTCCTCTCCCACATTGGTCGTGTAGTCTCCAGTGGAGTCGTGCACATACTCTACATGTCTCCTTAAAGTTGCCTCTCTAATCAAACACAAGAATGGTCATCAGTTAACATCAATTATGCTTATTGCGACATCTCATAAAACCATGGTACGACAATACTATGCACTACATTTTGACATATATTTCAGTGAAATTAATACGATAACATATCAAAGTATCTGGCCCTAAATTTTTGCTAAGAACTGTTGGATATATATAGCATCAATACATATATACTGAGCCTCTAAATTTGATACTTTGTTAGATAAAAAAAATCTCAGATATCAAGCTGGACACAGTCCTCTAGCATGAGGAAGCTTCACAAGTATGATCAGTAAATCATGAACCTAGCAGTGGATGATGGCTGGTGGGGAGGACTCCCTGTTCATACCTTCAAATTACTATGTATTAAGCTTCCTCCCTTAGGGTGTGAAACAACAGTTGTCCACTATTATATAATACTGTACATACTTTTTATGTTCCTATTGCTATCAGAAATAGAAATGTTTACTATACCTGTTAAATTTGATGTCACATTTAGGACAGTAGTATGCTGGCTTGTCTGTTATTACTAATTCCTGGTTAACCTCTTTCACAGAATCCTTCGTCTTTCTCTTCCGACCTACAAATATATACCACAGTGATAGAAAATGACTGGAGTTCAAATACAATTGGCTGATATACTTAAAACATTTGATCACTATTTCAAAATATTTTGCAGCACTGACTTAATGCTTTCTAGTTACCTCTTTTCTTTTTTCTTGTACCAGTGTTTTCTTTCTCCGACCCTTCCGTTCCAGTCCGATTGTCTTCATTCTCCACAGAGATACCTGTTTGTTTCTGAATCAGTTTTGGGACAATCATTCGCCTATCGTGACCAGAGCGTGAAAATGTAACCTTGAAGTTGTCGTGTTTGACTTTGTGCTGAAGGTATTCCTCCAGGCTTGTAAACATGATACGACATTTTTTACAGAAGTGGATATCTTCATCTCCCTCATTATCAGTATCAAAACCTGTGAAGATATATACATTGTATTCAAATGTTGTGTTATTAGTAGGAATGATTTCAGTAATTTTAATTATCAAATGTGGGTCCCATAGCGCTTATGGAAATCAACACCGAAACAAAAATGAAAATAGAAAATGCAATAAAGTTGTCACAGAAGGAGATTAATAGATCTATCTATTATATTAATATATCAGTTTGTGTCAAAGTAAGTGCTAAACTATCAACAACTGACTTTGAAATAATCTGCCCTCACTTGATCGCCTTTGAAAGTATATGTAAGACTACTATATTGAAGTATCCTACCTTACATAATTTAAATGGGATTTCTTCCATTGATTTTAAATTGTGACTCTCATTAATACATATATAAAAATATATATGCTAACATGTAGCTTTATTATCAGCAATCTGTCTAAATTATCTTATTGTTTCATTTACTGCAGATACTATGCAATGGGGTCTTGACCCTATACAGTGTTTTGAGTGGGCCATTTTCGGCAATTTTTAGTCAATATCAAATTAAAAGGGGCCGTTCTATTTTAAATTAAAAGGATTTTGGAACATGGATGGGTCAATTTCAGTTTCGAGGGTGCCCCATGAACCTCTCCAGGATTACAGTATCCCTGCAATGTATTGTCAATAAGCTTAAATATCGATATCAGATATATTGGCAATGTCTCTCTATGTTGCTACACCAAGAATATTACTGTAAATTATGAAATACCAACACCCAGTATCTATTCATTTACATACAACACGTTACACTAGTCAACAGCCACTGACGGTTGTTGTTACAACTATGAAAATAAGCTTTTCATGGCTGATCTGCAATGTTTACCATAACGAGTAACATAAATGTCATTTTTTCACATTCAATATACGCTTTGCATGCAATGTATGCAGTAAACAAAAACAATACATAGTAAACTTAACGATTTTCGTTTATGAAGACTTTTCGTCTGCTTACCGTCCAATGTAGACGTATTTACGACAGATGTGGTGTCGTTAGATTTTTCAGACATGGCGGATTGCGACTATCGACAAAAGGCCTCACTTTCCATTGACTTCCGGTTTATTTAAGGGTCCGTCTCAAAATATTGTTTTATAAAATTCACTAATTAAAAGGCTATTCCAAAGCATAACTATTGAAATATAATCAGAACAATACTCTTATTATTATATACTGGTTTACTTTACTTTTAAGAAATAAGAATGCCAGAATAAAATAATACGTTGATGATCGCTGTATAACCATGTGTACTACGTCACCAATTTTCGTGCAGTCTCCAAAAACGTGACGTTCTACACAAACACTCATCAGAAATGACTTCGACACAGGAATTAAAAGACGGTAAATAGCAGATATCTTGGCAATGACAATTCGCATATGGATGATGTTAACAGTATAACTTATCAATTTGATTATATCTTTTTTCCCCAATGTAACAGGGTCAGAGCTTCGATGAAAGGTTTTTGTTTACTGAAAATATGAATGGTGGGCATGTTCCCACTTGTCTGTGTTTTTTGTAAGTCGTTGTTGCATCTTTACTTTGGGACAGTGATTGGTACAAGAAACAAGAAACTTTATTTAACATCGCATATATCATACAGAGAAACATTAGCGCTATTTTTGCGACAAACATAATAAAATGCAACCAGAAAACAACAAACAAGCTATACACCAGGGATGGACATCCCTGTATACACTATCACAGAAAGCTAGCACATAATCAGCGAGTAAAACATACAATAACATAGCAGCATATAATTAGATATCACAGGTAATAAATTTGAAATACTATACTAAAAATGATGTAATGAGATGATAGTGAACATCTGCATATCACACAGGTGTTGCTATATAATAGGTGGGTTAAAGCACTACAAGTGTAATGTACAAACATGCTGATATAGCAAAAGAGTAATAATTGACATAATATACACTTATATGGTGTAAATTAAAATAAGACGACAAGGTCTAGTAAGTAAAAAGATATTGAGCTATAATGATGATTAGAAGAGAGGGCTAGAAGCTATGCTGCAAGTTAGTGGTATATAAAAGTGCCATGCAAAGCAGAAGTTAAGCTAAATAAATGAATACAGCAGGTAACTAGTAATAAAGACTAAAACACTGAAAAAAAGAAAAACTCTTAACACAGGTACAGATATGACATGAGCAAATGACTTTTCATTGAAATTGTATGACTGATTGGACACGTTACTAAATCTGAAACAACCCTGTAGTTCTATGTGAATCTGGGTGGGTTTTTTCATTAAAACTAAAATCTTATATAATAAAGATCAATACAGCTTACCATTATAAGTGGATATGTAACAGGGGGGAAAGAAGGAGTTCAGTCATTTTACAGATATAGCTATAGGTTTTTACAGCATAATCAGTAGATTGTACTAGACCTGATCAGAGGGTAACTGATGAGGCCAGCATGGAATATTTACTGAGTACAAAGTGAAAAAGAATATAAGAATAAAATCAATCGTAATCAAGTTTTTTTAATGAAAAGTTTCTGCTTTATGTAGAAAACAAGATTTTTCATTATTTATTTATTTTAACATGCCTTAGGCTTGTTTTAATTATATTTTCAGTTATCAAAGAGACCTTGGAAAGCCATGGGACTCTGGGACAGATTAAGGCCAGGATAAGAGCTGAAGTTTTCAATTCCTTGGATGACCATGGAGAAGCTAAACCTCCATTGAGCAGTGAAAACATGATAATCAATGAACTTATTAGAGAATATCTGGAGTTTAATAAATACAAATACTCATCATCCGTGTTAACAGCAGGTATGCATGTTATTAAACATATACATGTTTTTATACCCAGAAGAAAACTTTTAAAATCACCCTCATAACATATTCCATGATGCACAGTAACACATCTTGGAGGATATGATGGAATTGAACATCTGTGTTGCAAATATACCATCAGATGCAGAAATGTTAAAAAGGTTGATTTCACTCCTATACTAATGTTCAAAAAAACAAAGACAACATCATTTTATCATTCTCTGTTGTCTCATTTGATTAAAACACTTTCTTAGAAAACTGTTTTACTGAAAATGGGAACAAAGTTGTGCTTTCTATGGTTAACAGTTTTGTCAGATGGCAAATGTTAATTGCAAATAGTTGTGGAATTTCTGTCATAAGTTGGTTTTCACATCAGGTTATGATTTGTCACCGATTACTCAAACACTTTGACAGCAATACCTGAACATTTTGGATTGGAAACAATCACATGTAATTTTAATGATTCTTGCTGTTATTGGATTATGACAAAAATTTGTTATTGGTAGGTTTGTCTACAGACTGCTCAAAGAAAAGGTAGCATCTAATTTATTGCAAAAAAAATGTAAAAGGCACAGAAGAAATCATGCTTTTAATATCTCAAGTAATTTTATTGTTTAATTCTTTTCATACCTGGCTGTTCATTTAAGCATTCATCCCGGGCAGGAATGATTAAATCACACTTTCAATGACACAATGCGACACTTTGAGCTAAGGGAGATAACTGCTGCAATGCTGATTCATTACACCTGTACATGTACTTGTTATTATTCATGCAATACGGTAATCCTTTTTATTTGAAGAATTGAAATCTAAATATAGGACCAAGCAAATTGTATTTTCAGAATCTGGTCAGCCCAAAGAGCCATTAAACAGAGAGTTTTTAGCGAGAGAATTAAACATCCGAGAAGATCATACATCTAGTTCAATGTAAGTACTGTACATGTATATATGTACTAGTTCTGTAGAATTTAGTCCTTATGTATTTTCTGCAATCATTCTGGTCATTTCTTTACAAAATTTAACTTCCAGCTTTGAGTTTGAGTTTATCTATTATAAAATTCACTTCAACTCTGAAATATACAAAAATAGTTAATATACTAATCTTAAACTGATATTAGACTAATAGACCAGTATAATTCTGCTTTAATCTACTTTGAAAATTGAAACCAAGTATGTTATCTAGATATTCATGATGCCACGTCCTACCTTAATTCATCAGAAACTTGACACAAGGTTTTCCTCATTATCATTCCAGTCCAATGCTGTACAGTATAGTGTCACATTACATAAAGGACAATAGATCTGTGTTAGCCAAGTCTACTCTGAGAGACAGGTCGTCAGCACCTCAGATAGGATCAGCCTTCAGAGAGCAAGGTAAGAAAACTGCTGCTCACTTCGTGAAGCTGCATCCTCTCATCTTCAGATCCACTTTATTAACCATTTAAGCTTAAATCTCTCCTGACCTTGGTAAATAAAAACACCACAAAGTTAGATACTATGGAAAAAATGAACCAAATATCATTAACCATCGACCCCTGTAAGTTTTTGGAAAGACATACTGCTTGATTGTAAGAGGCAATTAATATGGCTAGATCCTCTTCATTGTCCTTCAATGCTTTCATATATTAGGGACATTTAAGGGGATCAAAATTGATCTGATGTACCCATTGCAACACTTGGGACCTTTCTCTTTCCATTTCTCATCTAGTCTTTCCTTTCACTAGTGTGCTAGGCACATCTGTCTAGCCAGTTAAAAACGATGTGAGGGGTTAGGATGCATTTGTGTACAGCTTGTTTCAAAGTGTGGAGACTAGATCTGTAAGTTGTTCCCTAGTGGCCTTACCACCTGTGGACATCATTCTCATTTGACCTTAGCTGTTATAAAGGCCTCAAACCCTAGATAAACTACGATAAACAGGGATAATTAGTCACGAATGTCCTTTTCTTGTTTCAGATGAGGATGCTGAGCAAGGAATTGTGGTAAGAGGCGGTACACGTTGACTCCAGTAAAGGATGGATGTACTCTGACTAGATTACCACAATCATCTCTTAATCATCATTGTAATGGATGGGGAGTGATAGTGTAGTATGGTGTATATAGACAGATAAATTAAAAATAAATCTTAGCAATTTCCGTTCAGGTGAATGGAATGGTCCAACATAATGTTCTCAGAGATTTACCTAAGTTAAGTTCTGTACTGAATCTCCTGTAATAACAAACCACGATATCCGTCCTTGTTATGCCTTTAATTGAAATATTTCTTGTACGACATGTCTATAAATAAAAATAGTAATGAAACCTGACAAATGTTGGTCAAAACTCTACCGAAACATTTTGACCCAAACTGATCTTCGAAAAGTTTAATATACCACTAGGTCTGTTGCAATTTCTTAGTTAAACAACTTTTGCTCAACTACGATGAGCTATAAGCTTTGATGAAGTTATCCACGGACACTAAAAATGACTTCTCAATTCTCATAGTTTAAGTCTTACAGAAATATTCATTGCAACAAGTATCGGGAAAATGAAAATGTAAAGTTTCATTGAGAACTCACATTCCAAGCCAATTGTTGTTGCATCAAGATGTTTAGCATAAACTGTTTGTGTAGTGTTACTGTTATTTATGAAGCTTACAATGTACATGTATGAAATTGACAAGAAAATAAATTATATATGTATTATTAAAGCAAACGATTTTGGAAAAGTTTTTATCATGGAATTAGCAAACCAATGCATCGTACGTAATCAGTAAAGAGGTTAATTTGGAGAAACTGATGTTTAAAAAATCTTGACAATGACCTGTGAACTTTTAATGACTGAGAAATCTGTGCTCCTTAAAAAGAATAAGGGCACATTCGCGTATCCGGTGAAACGGTTGAACCTGTAAAGAAAACGACAGGTACAGATCTGAACCGAGGCTAACCTCAGGAAAATTCAGCTCATGTAAATTGAGGGGTCCAGACGTACCTGGCCAAAACTAAAATGCTGACTATTGCGAGTTTGCATTATTTCTTTTTTAAACAATGTCAAGCCACATGTAGTTTTTAAGATATTTTATGTAATTCAGTGGATGCATGAGAGAAGGGCATAATATTCTCGATGCATTTTTTTTTATTCTCCGAAACTGTGCATTTTTAGCTCTGCTTATAGATCGGTCCAAGTGTGTTCGTTTATCGTGGAAAATTTCTGCACCACACGTACCGTTTCTTTTACTTCTACTTCTAAATGGTACTGACCAACTTCAACAATTTGAAGATAAAATGTCAGACGAGGAGTGAAACATGGAAAGAGAGTGTTTTTAAAAGATACGAGATGGTCTAATTTGCGTTTGAAAGGTGACGGTAGAGGGCTGATTTGAATAATTCCGTTGTGGGGCTCGAAATAATGTCAGGTGGGAGTTTATTCCACTCGGGTATAGTTCAACCGGGATACGCGAATGTAGCCCTAGTCACCTCGAAAATTTGGCATTTGACCTGCAGCCTTATATACATAGCTGTAGCTTGCATCCAGAGGATATTATTTTTCTGAAATTTCAAAACCAGTGACCATGTTATTTTGACATTTGACCAGTAGTCTATCTGATGTTTCGTTCTTAGTAAATGTAACGTTTATCTTTTATACACCTTCTACTTAAAGGTATTTCAATATTGAGCTTCAACCTCTACAGCCTCCATTGTACTTTGTATTGTTTTCTTAAAACAATTGTAGTTAGTTTGGTGATGCTTCATACAAGATACAAGAAACTTTATTTAACTTCGCATACAGGTAAACAAGGAACATTAGCTCGTGAGAGCTATTATTGTGACAAATATATGTAAAATAACAATAACATATTATATTACAAGTAAAGGGAGATAATCACATATATTAATAAAAAGCAGTAATAATCATCACAGAAAAAGAAAGTATCATATCCCAGGTTTCTAAGTGATTGGGAGTCCATTACCTACAAAGACCCCCAGGATATGACCCTTTTGAAACAATAAATATATAAAAATAGTATAAAAATATATGAAAAGCATTAAATGTGATCACAGATAAGTAGTATTCTGAATAAGTAAATAAAAGACATAGTTAATGGTGTTTTATATTCTTGTATATCACTCAAGAATTACTTAGGACTTAGGATTAAAACACTATGAAGTGGAATATACATACAATGCTAACATAGCAAAGAATAAAAATTGACAGAATATACACTATTATAGTGTGAATTAAAAATGATACCGAAATCAACTAACAAAATTTGTCAAGTTTTGTAAAAATTCATATTTTAGAATATATGGAACTAAAATACAAATAAGATGCTGTAAAAATATAGAATAGAATTAAAACATATAAGAAATGAAATAAGACAAGAAAAGTATCACACAATCCAAAATGTCAGGTGGCAGAGGTAACCAGGGCACAGTATGAAATATCACTCTTTGCAGATTTTGCAAAGGCAGATGGGGCCATCCCAAGAATGGACCAGCCTCCTGAATTCTTTGAAGTTTTCAACTTTCGGAAGTCAATTGGGAGACTGTTCCACAACCGGGCGGCCTCTCAAGCAAATGATTTGTGTCCATACTTCACAGTGTTGACCCTGGGCACCTCATCTTAATATTTACAAGATTATGAATATATTCAGGAGATTTTTATTTTATAATTTTAAAAACCTCACAATCCATTTCCTTCAGACGCCTTACATGAAGCCTGTCACTGTTAGTAATACCGAGTAAGTGTCTGAAGGATGAGTTGTGATCATTTGACAGATTTTGATGTTTAAATTATAAACGCCTAGAACCTTGACATTTTGACCCACAGTGTTCACACTGATCACTCAATCCAACAATTCAACCAAGTGACTTTGGTATACCTTGAACTTCATAGCCTCCACATTTAATACACAAGGCTTGGTGACCAATTTAGCTTGTAGTGTCATTAAAAGGTGATGTTTTGATTATTAGCCAAACCATCTACCTTCACAGTCGGACAATCAGCCTGCAGAGCCGAATTTTCAACTGCTCAATCCTGAATTTTAAGGAGCATAGCCTGACCGGCAGCCTTCACAGCTTAACCTTTAAACTTCCATAGCCTGACAATAAACTTCAACATCTAGATCATCAACTTCCAAAGTCTGACCTTCGACCTCCTCAGCCTGACCTTTAATTATTGTAGCCTAACTTTCAACCCCACAGCCTTACTTTCAAGCTTCACAGCCTTTAACCCCAAAGACTGACCTTCAGCCCCTCTCGACTGACATTTAACACCCACTCCCCAACAGCCTGACCTTCATCCCCACACCCTGACCTTCAACCTCCCCAGCCTGAACTTGAGCTTCCACAGTCTAACTTAAACCTCCAATAAACTAAACTTTAGCTCTCATAGTCTGACCTTTAACCCCCGCCCCCCACCAATTGACCTTCATCTCCACAGTCTGAGCTTCAACTCCTAACATCCTGACCTTAACCCCCACAGCCAGACCTAAAACTCTACAGACTAATTTTCAACCCACACATTGCATCTCATGAGGCTTCATAGCTTGGTGTAACTGTGCCTAATCCCATTGCAAACTGCAATAAATATGTTTAAATAAAAATCTAATGACCTTTAACATTTGCAATCTGACGTTCCATCCCCACAGTCTGATATCTGACTCAGACAGCCTGTGATATAACGTACCCAGTGACTGAAAGCCTAAAACAAGATCAATATTAATAGTATTTGCGTGCCCCTGTGCGCAGTCTGAGCTCGTTATCTTCATTTGGAATAGCGGATGCATTAATTTTGATATTAAATAATTATATGCATGAGCAGACGACAGGTGTTCTCATCGATTTGCTCATCTCCCTTAATATAACTCAGACTTGTTTACAACAGAACCGTAGTATTAGTAGTACTACGGACGATAATGTATAGATTGGATGGAGCGGTCATAAACCAATGCCCGGACCAGCACTTTGCATTGTATGGAATGTCCGGGCCGACATGCCAACTGCTAAATGTCATTTGCCTATCGTCTAATACCAAACGTCTAATGTAAATTGCCAGATGTCGATTGCTAGCCGCTGTTTGTTTGATGTTCATTTATCTGCTTTTTGGTCTTCTTCTTCTTCTTCTTCTTCTTCCTCTTCTTCTGTGTCTTATCGTTTTTCTCTGATATTTCCTAATTTCTTTCCTATCCTCCCCATTCATTCTTACATTACCACACAAAGTCAGTATGAAGAGGCGACAAAGGAAACCTGTACGAGCGTATGTCTTCTCATTCTGCCAGGTATCTTATTATTAGGCTTGTCGTATGTAATATGTGCAAATTATATCTGCATGAATGATGTTGGCAGATTACAATACGGATGTCGGCTTGGGTATTCCCAACTCTAGAGATGATGCGAGTATAGTGACTCTAGCGTGACCTCTCCAGCATTACAAAACCGAGGTCACGTGACCTAAGTTATTGCTAAAACATAAAGTTGAAACTATGTTGTTATAGTGTTGATGAATACTCTATGATGTAACCCAGCGGTAAAGTCCCTGGGATGGGGCGGGCCCAAGAGCCGTGCCTTGTAGCATGGGTGTAGTGGTCTTTTCGTGCGAACTGTGTGTAAGGTTATGTGGTGGGGATTTCGATCGTTTTCGAGTAGCATAGCTGCATTCCCAATTTTTTTTAATGGGGCCCCACTTATACAAATCACCATCACCTACAATCTGTGCAGTCATTTAGGAGAAATAGGATTTTGAACAAAATATCATAAATTCCCATTTATGGTTCCACTCCAAGAGTGATCAAGGGAGTAGTGTGGGGCCCATTAATGCCCCGTCCCTCTTGCCCAGTGGATTGCACCATTTTCACTTATACAGCATATGATTTGAATTCCCACATTGATGTTTTAGACCAAATATGATTATGTGCGGTCGTTCAGGAGGAGCACCCTTTAGGCATACTCGAAACCCAAGGGTTCCGCTCTCGACACATACATTCTCTGCACCTCTGGTATATCCAAGGGTGCAAAAGAGATATGTGTATCGAGAGCAAACACCCTTGGATTTAGAAGATGACTTTTGGAGATTAAATTTTAACTACGCCCCTCTGTGACTACATATTACCTTCCCAATTGAATCATTTGCCATGCTTCATCCTCGATATCCAGGGGTTACGCTCACGTTCGCTCTCTACACCCCTGTAATATGTGCGCCACCTTGTTGATGAGACAGGTGCGCTATATACGAAAATCCTTGCACAGTTTTGATGATAGCGATCTGATAATATATGCAGTTTTCAATCCACAGGGACATGTCCAATTGAAATGTGCGTCACAGTATTATATTACTTAGTAGATACTGTGACGCCCATTTATATGTGACATATCCCTGTGCTTCAGTCATTGGTCTTAGTTAGAGTACGCTAATAAATTGTGATATTCTTTGCCGGTTGTTTTAAGTGGTTTTTTTACCGTTACACAGGTTTCCAGTGTTTTATATCTTCGTTGACCTATGCTGCAGTGCGTTCTTAATGAGCTACTATTCAAAGGCTTTTCCTATAAACATGTCATAGTACAATTAAAACCGCTTAATTCTTTATAATCAGTAGTGTTAATTAACGTCGTACAGCGTTATAGCATGGCACTGACAATGGAGAACATTGATCCTTCTCACATGAGGGGGGAATAACCTTCACATTATGAAGATGTTGACAGTTACACAAGTTGTTT